AGTTTTGTCAAAAATCAGAAACAATAGCAAAATGCAGCCAAAATCGACATAGCTTCATTGTTTTTAGTAATATAGGCACAGAAATCGAATGTAGTCGTTTTGTAATAACTGCAAGGGTATAAAAACTTCGGCTTGCTGAAGCTTACTACGTTTCTTGTTTTATCGAATTTCAAAGGCAAGAGGCTTGCATCTTAACATCTGATTTAACAGCCAGTATCTTAACAGAAGCGCACTCTATGCAGATTGTGTACTGGTAATGCATCCTACACAACATTTTTGGTTTTAACGACTTTTTAAAAATGGATTTTGCCCAACGAATGTGGTCGTTAGCCCCATAGTGCAACGTTAGTGGTTCAAAAGCTAATCAATTGGTTGCGAACCGAGTCATCCTATAGCGCCACACTTGGTGGTAATATCAATAATCACTTCCTGTATACTTCGTCCTCATTCTTTCCCGAAAGTAAGTGCACCCCTGCCACAAAATTTATTTTGGTTGGCAAAGTATTTTAGATTGACGTTCCCAGTATGTTTCCCACTAACTTTAAGCTTTCGTTATTAGCATACAGATGGCTAAAATCATTTTTCAAATAAAAAAAGGAGTTTACAGATCGTTAATTGTTAGCTTTTTTCACTTACACTTGTGGTTAGCCGCTCGTCAATTGACGACAGCGTCCTTATATACATCCATAACAAAAATTATTTAATACTGAAAAATGTATGTAGACACAAACAACCTTATGTGGGTGCCAGGACACCTCGACATCGTAAATAGTTGCAAAGCTGACGAGCACCCAAATCGGAGACGACTCCCGATATCCTTCCCAAGAAGGGCACGGCTACCTATAATCATAATTCAAAACAAGCATATGTAACACACTCTCTGACAAGGATTCCATCACCAACTGCAGAACATCCAAGCTAAACAATTGAGGTCCCAATTGCGGTCCCAAGTGCTCTTACAAGACGTTGTCTTTTAGGTATCCATGCACGTAGACACAGGGTGGAACATAACTTCTGTCGTGATTATAAGTCATAAGATTACCCGTTTTACCTGTTGCTAGCAGTGTAAAGGCTATATTGCATTCGCTAAAAAGTATGTTACAAGTATGTATATCAAATCAGGAGGTGATCCTGATCAAGAATATATATACTTTATAGGGTCGGAGATGTCTCCTTCACTGCGTTGCACACTTTTGACCAAAATTATAATACCCTCCGCAAGGGTATAAAAATAATACGGAAAAAATGCTAAATCGGAACTCACGACTTTAGACAGTACATAAACCACTTAACTCAACATTTTCCCCACTAACTAGGGGAAAATGTGGTAAGTTCGGAGAATCAAACTCACCACCAAATATTTCTTAAGTTCAACTCAACTTTTAAATTGGTCTTTGGTTACTTGTTTAAACTAGCCTCAGCGCCACCTATGGGTCAAGCGTCGCAAATCCCAAGTAATGTGGCGCCGTCAGTTAGTCAGTCACAGGACTAATCCTACCGAAAATATCGATGATTGCATGTCGTAGACAGTTTCAAAAATTTAATTTTAAAATTGTACATCCCGTCCACCCATTATAAGTATAATATTATAAGAGCAACAGCAAAAAAAACAGATTATCACAATGCAGAGTAAAGAAATGACAGCAGATCCCACAAAGAGAAAACAATCTTTCCTTTATTAACTTCAGCTTATTATTAAATTGGCCAAGAATGAAACCCTAAAATTTCAGAATGAAATTTAAAATATTTTAAAACAAGAAAGAAAAGCTAACTTCGGGCGGAGCCGAAGTTGATATACCCTTGCAGAATATTCTGTAAATTCTATTCTCCAAAATCGGATCAGTTATTCATATGATGCATCTTAATACTTATAAAAAATCACAACTTCCCAACTTTAACGAGGACGGAAGCTAACTTCGGCAAGCCGAAGTTTTAATACCCTTGCAGACTTTGCCTAAAAGTGAAAAAGTAGCGAAAGGAATAAGGTATACATAAGTAAACTAGATTTGCATAATTTCAAGTCAATTGCTTTTATACTGCAAAAATGTCATATACAAATAGAAAAAAGGGATACTTTCGCAGCCTTTAACAATTTTTCCTATCTCCTTTAAGATATAGACTTCCGAGCGGCAAGCGCTTTTACCCTAATCAAGATATGCGTAAATAAATAAGAATTGGAAAAATGTATGTTAGTAGCTTACACACTGCGCGAAATATTCTGATAATCATTAAATTTGGAGCGATTTCACCCTATTGTTCCTATGGGAGCTATAGGATATAGACGTCCGATCGGCACGCGCTTTTACCTTGATCAATGTATGCATAAAAAAATACGATTTGGAAAGATTCATGTCAATAGCTTGTATACTGCGCGAAATATCCTAAAAATCATTAAATTTTAACCGATTTTACCCTTTTGTTCCTATGGGAGCTATAGGATATAGACGTCCGATCGTCACGCGCTTTTACCCTGATCAAGGTATGCATAAAAAAATACGATTTGGAAAGATTCATGTCATTAGCTTTTACACTGCGCGAAATATCATCAATTCTTGCAAGATATATCCGATTGTTCCTATGGGAGCTATAGGATATAGACATCCGATCGGGGCGATTTTCAAACTTGATCTGCGTACATGTTTTAGGACGAGTGTGAAAGTTTCAGATCACTAGCTTTTAAACTGAGCTCGCAAACGGTATTGAAACAGACGGACAGACGGACAGACGGACGGACGGACGGACGGACAGACGGACATGGCTATATCGACTCCCCTATTGATCCTGATCAAGAATATATATACTTTATAGGGTCGGAAACGTCTCCTTCACTGCGTTACAAACTTCTGACCAAAATTATAATACCCTCTGCAAGGGTATAAAAACACCAAAGTTGTGTCATTTCCAATCGTTCAGTTATATGGCAGCTATAGGATATAGTCGGCCGATCCTTATGAAATTTGGTAGGTCAATTTGATTGGCCAAAGATAAAACCCATAGATATTACCAACTTCCTTACTTTAAAAACACCAAAGTTATGGCATTTCCGATCAATCAGTTATATGGCGGCTATAGGATATAGTCGTCAGATCCTTATGAAATTTGGTAGGTCAGACTGATTAGCCAAAAATAAAATCCATAGAAAATCCCAACTTCCTAACTTTAAAAACACCAAAGTTATGGTATTTCCGATCGTTCAGTTATATGGCAGCTATATGATATAGTGGCCCGATCCGGCTCGTTCCGACTTATATACTACCTGCAATAGAAAAACAACGTTTGGGAAAGTTTCAAGCAGATAGCTTTAGGGACAAGTTTGCGTAGAAACGGACGGGCGGACGGACAGACGGACGGACAGACGGACGGACAGACGGACGGACAGACGGACGGACAGACGGACATGGCTAGATCGACTCTCCTGGTGATGCTGATCAAGAATATATATACTTTATAGGGTCGGAAATGTCTCCTTCACTGCGTTGCAAACTTTTGACTGAAATTATAATACCCTCTGCAAGGGTATAAGAATTGCAGGAAAAATATTGAGCAAGCGTTACGATTTTTATACCCGTTACTGGTAGAGTAAAAGGGTATATTGTATTCGTGCAAAAGTATGTAACAGGTAGAAGGAAGCGTTTCCGACCCTATAAAGTATATATATTCTTGTTCAGGATCACTAGCCGAGTCGATCTAGTCATGTCCGTCTGTCTGTCTGTCCGTATGAACGCTGAGATCTCGGAAACTATAAAAGCTAGAAGATTGGCATTTTGCATGTAGATTTTAGGAGTTCCTACGCAGCGCAAGTTTGTTTCAAAATGGTGCCACGCCCACTCTGACGCCCACAAGCCACAAGCTGTGGCCACAGTTTTTATGATATTATGAAAATTTTAACTGATATGTATTTGCTTCGTCAATAAATATCGATTGGCCTAATAAAAGTTTGCCACGCCCACTCTAACGCCCAAAAACCCATTAAACGCTTAAGCCTGGCTAGCGCCTACATTTCCTCCTTTCATGTCGCCATCTAACGGATGACTTTGGAACAGCTGGCCAAGGTGCTCAACAGAGTCAACGTTAATTCTCGATAAGGATTTCTATTAAAGGAAATTGCGATGGTTTTCATTTGTCAATACCGAACTATATCCCAAGAACTATGCAAATCAAATCTAGGTAGCCAAATTGGAGGTCTGAGTCAAACAATGGCGTTTGTGTGTATGTAGGTAAGCATATACATATGTATGTATTTACATTGTACACAGTTGCAATTGCCCGGCAAAGATAATTCCTTTCAAAGAAAGCTATTCGCTATACCCGTTACTCGTGTTGTGCAAGCATTTAGACTTTAATAATAATACTATTTAAGAATGTATGTGTTTAGCCAATATAAGTATGTATGTTTAATATTTCTAGTCAATTTATTGCACTCAAAAACATAAACATAAACACAGCTGCTGGTGCAGGACAAAAGCTGCCTGCGCTAAAGCAGCGCTGGTGCTGATGCTCGTGCTGTAAAGCTGCCAGCACTAAGAGATCGCCGAATTCAAATTGATAATTTGAACTTTTTGTCCTTTTTTCCTGTGGTCACTATAATTCACATTATGTTAAAAAAAAACAAAAAAAAACACAAGAGGGCATATTTATATTAAGTTGTTTAGCTAAGTAAGGGGTATCTAATAGTCGAGGCACTCGACTATAGCGTTCTCTCTTGTTTTCCGTCCTGTTCTTGTGTAACTTTGTGCCACTTCTACTAAATTACCAAATAGGGATATATACAAAATTAGTAATTTTAAGGAAATAAACCATATTAGTTTTATTGGTTTCGGGTTGAGCATATTTTATTGTCGGGGGACCTAACTACTTATAGCCTAGAATTTTCATTCAACTAACCCCTATATTTATCCAAAACGAGTATTACTTCACACTATGCGATAAAGTTTTATTGTTATAACTGTGTTTTTGTCGAGTAGATCAGGGTTGTTTCCTCATACCACCATCATTTTATCATGATAAAACCGGCTGTGGAGGATGACTTGAAAGATGAGCGGCGTTCATACGCCAAAGAAAAGGTTCTGATGTACAGCAGCAACGTGTTGATTGGCAACTGGTATAACAATCGCTTCCAAGGCCCGACACATAATGGTAGTACAATATTGCCAGGACTGATGACCGAGAAAGGGTGCGAGCAGCACCAGACTTGCAGCCAAGCTACGTACAAGCCCTTCGACTACAACCAATCTGTGCACGATCACTTGGTGGTCAGGAACCGGATGTATGGAAACAAGGTCGCGCAGAGCGCTGGTCTTAAGTTATCCGAGGAGGAGCAGTACATCAACAACTACACCACCATGAACACCCTCATGTTCCACTTGTTCCCCAAAATGCGCCTGGAGGAGTGCTTGAAGATGGAGGAGGCCGGTCAGACGCACTTTACGCCAATGAGGCCCGATGGTCTCGACAGCTACGGCAACTTCAGCCTAGTCCGCAACAAGTTGCGCTGTAAGTTGGCCAACGAGCGTCCTCCTAGAGGGCTAACAAGCTACAGAGGCGAATTCGATGCTAAAACCAGGAGCAAGACCGAAAATGTGGAGGTCGGCGAGTGGACAGTTGCGGATGAAGCTACCAGGAAGAGGGAGCGTGACCGATTTGTCTTTCTCAATTGCAGCATTCACGACGACTTGAAAGACTTCAATGGAAAGTAGCGTGGAATCCCAAAGTCCGAAATTCGTGGTCAACCGAGTAATACAATTTATAATATACAACGTGTGTATCTCTGAGAAATGGGGAGGAGGCTAGAACTTGTTTGTCAATCTTTCGATGTAGCTACTTTTGAATAATTGAAATTGGCTCTATTCGGTTTTTTCCCGGCGTTAGCCTTACTGTCAAATTAATTGTCCACACCCGCGACGGATGGATAGCATTAGCCAAAAGTCTCTGGCGGACGACATGGCCTCGCCCCAATTCGGCAAGGAGGTGCTTATTGGCAACTGGGCTGAGCGTCGCTACGCTGTCGAGGAGCAGAGCAACGCCATCCTGCCAGGACTCCGGGTGAGTGGCTGCGAGCGCCACCGCTCGCTCTGCCAGGATACGTTCACAAGATCGGCTTTTGCTCGACCCGAGACGGTCTTTTTCTTCGTAGAGCAGCGCAAGCTGGCTTACCAGAACCTCATGAGGAACAGGCGGTCGTGCCTGAACCTTGTGGACCATGAATTACTAAAGCGAAACTTCACTTCAACCAACACCCTGGAGTTCCAGGAGCTGCCGCGGCTTCGTATGTTGCAAGCGAATGCGGAGGATGATAAGAGCGGTCCTCCAAAGCACCCAGCCGAGGTAGACAGACTGCAGGCCTTCGGCAATATTACGAGGACTCACAACTACCTAAGGCGGTTCAAGTGCGAGAAGCTCCTAGATGAAATCGGCAGCATGCAGACCACCTATTCCGCTTGCTTCAATCGCCCGCGGAAGAGCAAGCCCATCTTCGAGTACGGTCCAGACTACGACGGTGTTGTCAAATTCGAGTTGGCGTGCTAGTACCCAGTGCGATTAGATACCCTTCAAATTAATTAATTAAAAATTGTAAACGTGTACCGTAAAGAAAGCCATACATTTATATTACAAGATTCAATTTATTTCAAATCATTTTCTTGTATAATCATATGGGTTCGTATTTTAAGTAGTTCTATATTTTGGATGCCAGAATTTCATTGTTTTTTTTTTTGTTGGCACATGCCGAAGCATTGGCTTTTGCATTTCCTTTTTTAATGAGCTATTTTTAGTTGGTTTCTATTTTTTTTGGAAATTAGTAGGTCGATAGATGTTTATACTTTTGAGTTTACCGTTGCTGTTGCTTTGTTACAGAATATATATTTAAATATTAATTAATTATTACAAAAAGTAAAACGTTACGACATTAAACTAGACGACGCAAGATTTTGCATAAGTTTACTTGCTTAAATATTTTATTTTTGACTCGGTAATATTTGCTTGCCTTAAAATCTTATTTATTCTTTTTTTGATTAATTTTGGACTGCCATGATAGGTTTTGTGTTTTTTGTGTTTTCGATATTTTTTCCTTCTTTTTGGCTGACGATTACGTTAAAAATTATGCTTAAAATCTAAACCAATGGAAGTTGTATGGGGCTGAGTGTGTGGTGGAGAATGTTGGTGTGTTTTTGGTGGTTGCATGTTTCAGGGGTTTTATGGGGGTGTGGATGTGTGTAATTTTAGGGGTTACCTTTAGTTTGGCTGGTGTTATGAATTTTCTGGATATATGTTCGCGTATATAGTGTTTTAATTTGCTTATAACAATTACAATTTTGAATTTTTGGTAGTTTTTTTTTTGGTTTAGTAGTTCTTTTTTCTTGATGGTGAATTTCTTTTATTCACTTTGCTTGTTCTTCCTAAACTCTCACTTTTCGTTCATATTCAAAGTTGTTAAACGTTTTTTCATTTTCGACTTAATTTTTTTCTTACATTGAATGCCTTAAGTATTTATTTTTATTTTTACTTAATTTTTATGTAAAAAATGATGCTTACACATTTGGCTTAAATTTAAAATTTGGTTTTGTTTGCTCCGAAAAATTTAATTAAACGTGAATTGCCTTTAAATAGTTTCCATGACTCGAGTATACCTTGTTTTGTGCAATCAATTTTGAAATGACCGAGATTACTTGTTTTTTCCGAGAATTTTACTTTGGAATTGGCCGAGAAGGTATATTTTTAATTTTTTTCAAAATGTTTGTCTTGTCTTTTTTAATTCAATGCCATTCGATTACTCACCATTTTTTATTCAGATTTTGATATCTAAAGTGTCTTGATTTCGCTGATGTGCGAGTTTTTGTCTCCAAACATTTACTTTGTAACGTTTGTAATGTTATTTTAAAAGTTTTCCCTCTAGATTGTAATGTTAATATGATTTCTGAATAGTTTAGATAACCTTTTATTATGTGCAAATTATTAAATGGTATTTCGAACCTCATTTTTTATTCAGCCAAAACAATGATGGTTGTTTTTAGTCACAACATTCTTTAAATTGCCAGTGTTTTTTCAAAAATTGTTGATGGTTGTTCCGGTAATAGTAGTTGTAAGTGTAAATCTAAACTCGACGTGTTAACTAATAACTAAGGATTGGTTTAGATTGGAAATTAGTACTGAAATAGAACAGAATACAAAATATTTTAACATCATGTTTTTCATTGATGTTGGTTAGCCAGTTTTATTGTTTAGGTGCAATCATTTGTTATTATTTTTGTACCAATTAATTCAATTTTTACCAGGAAAGTGAGATTTTTGTTATTCTTGTTTGTCTCTTGTAATATAAAAAAGTTTTACATTCTTTTGCTTTGATTTTCAATGCATAGGTTTTTTATTTTTATATGTATAACTTGCTTTTTACATTCAATCGATTCAAAATGATAAAAATTTAAATAGAAAAATGCTTAACAATTTTTAGCTATTGTTATTTCTGCTCTTGGTTTTGCGTTGCCTCTTTAAAAAATATATGTATATAGGTAGTTTGCTTGCTCTTGCTTTATGTTTGTTGTATACTTCAAATCGCCTCTGTCGCTATTTCGGTATTTGTTTTTGATTCGGTTCAATCTGCTTTGCATCTTCCTATGCTTTTCATAATCAATTCTTATCATCTGCTGCTGCTTTTCCTATTAGTTGCTCAATTGGGTTTTGCTGTTGTTGTCTGTTGTATAAAAGTCGGTCAATAAGAAAAATGTATTATTATTGTACTATGGTTGCTGCTGCTGCGGTATCCGTTGCATTTGTTGTATATGTTGTAAATTAAAAGATTTGTTCGGTTTATTGTTATTTACTTGTATCAGGCTATTGGCTATTGGCTGGCCCAGGGCAGGTACGTGTCCTGATCCTGGCAGTATTGTATCACTATTGCTTTGTTTGATTCTATTTTGGTTTTGATTTGGATTGATGGTTTTGATTAAAACGTCTGCTCTACAAACCAAAAACCGGTTAATCTTCAATTAAATTCTCACTTTCTGATAAAAACAAATTAAAGTTATTACTGGGTATGTCACAAAACGTATTCGGCCATAGTAGCAGTGGTCATATTTCTACATGGATATGTTGCGTTCAGCTGATTAACTCATAGCGAAATTCTTGAAACTCACTCGTACCTTTTACTTATCCATCCCGCTTGAACAATTTTTCTCATCTGTTGATCTCTGCTCTCCTTTTTCTTGGTGCATTAGCTATTCGTTAGCCAAATTAGTGAAATAATTGATTTACTTACGTTGGTACTATTGCATTTGCAGTTGCAGTTTGTGATTGCTTATGTACAGTTAGAGTTGAGTTACAATTAATAATAAGTGCTCACTGCCGGAGCCGACGCTGATATCTGCATAAATAAAATTTGATTCTATTGACTCTGCTCAGTTATTATTTCTATGGTAGTTATTAAATGGTAGTCCCTGTCAATTGTTTATAATAATTACAAAAGTATGTATCAAAGGAATGTTAACATAACAAATTGTGTTCGGTTCGTTCTCTAATCTGATGTAGTCTGATCCTTCGGGTAATTGAACTTATCGTAAATCGTCGTATCTGACGATTTCTTCCTTTGAGTGTCTAACTCATTGGCAAGCGCAGGTTTTAAAATAATTTCTTGTCATTTGCATACTTTACTTAACACTTAATGGAATATAATTTTATGTCTGTTAATTAAATGTAACTATATGTTCTCCGTTTTAGTTTGTTTTTTTCGGCGTTTTCGTCGAACCTCGTCGACTTTTACTATTTTTTTGCTGTTTTTCTCAGTTGTAAGCTGTCTGATTGATTTATTTTAGATCTGCTGCTATTTTTACTGACATTCGGACATTTTATTTCTATTTGAGAGCTGTATTTATTTCTTGTTAGTCGGTTACTTGTAAAAATTCTGTAAAATATTTTCGGTACTATTTCATTTGGTTTGTGATTTGTTCCTGTTGCAAAAACAACAATTCGTATATAATATAAATAAATCATTTGATTTCTGTCTGTAATAAATTACTTGTTCTATGGGCACATGGTGTCTATTGCAAAAAGTAAACCTCCACAAGGGAATAGAGTGATCCTAGGCCCTCGGACCGAAATTAAACTTGTTAAAAGAAATAATAATAATGTCTAAAGAAATAATGACTTTGCTCATTTTTAATTCGTGATTTCGGCGGTGATCCGCAATGAACTGAAATCTAACACTAAAATCCATTTCCATTTGATGTTGAATAATTCAACACCATTTTATTGATTCCATCACTCTGGGTAGCTTTTCATATATTGTTCAACATAACAAGAATTAATAATTTTGCAAAAACTTAGAGGTTACCGTTTATGGCCTTTCTGCCAAAACGAAGACACGGAGACGTAACGGACCCAGGACAGTATCTAATCCCTTATTTGTCCACCTTTTTGCAATAATTTGAGTTTAGAGTTTATATCAATATCGCCATTTAAGCTTAATTAACAACTAACGAGGCTATTGTTGTTTGGATTTCTTCAATTCATTATTCATTTTGTATTCTTTTAAACTTAAAACAGGTTATGGTTCATTTTAGCAATCTGGCTTCAATATAATTAAAAGTCTGTATTCCACCTATTTACGCAGCTAGCTGCTGTCACAAACTTTTTAAGGTTACGTCAAATATAAGTAGATATATCGTATATATAGAGAGTACGCCTTAAATAGGTTAAAAAATATAATACACCATACATATAATATAAGAGCTTAGGGTTTTCCATATGCTATACGCTATTTTTCTTTGCTTTTGCAATTCGTTTACTTTTGAATCGGTTTTATTTTATTAAGTATTTTGAGTGTCAGTAATCCATTTCATTCTTTGGTTATCGCCTTCCTTTCGGATATTTGGTAATTTAACTAAAAATCTCATTGGAAATCGAATTAAATCCGTTAACTGCGTGTTACTGACAATTTTTTTTATTAAATCAAACAGCTGTTGTTCAATGGGCTTTTATATTGTTATAAATATTATTATATCTCATTTTATTTCAGAATTATCAGTGTCATTGTTATTCCTCATTTCTTTAAATTAGTGCTTACCGTTGCTATTTCAATGTGTATTTATCTATTTTTTAATATTCTCATTTTCTTTGTTGATTCTCTTGAGTTATTTTTCTTTGTTGGTTGCTTTGATGCTTGGTGGTTGACTTAAAAACTATTATCACTATTGCAGAAAGCGGCTGTACTCAATTATAATGCATTCGCTTCTGAAAATTGTGGGATGGAAGGTTACTCACAGATTACACTGCCACCATCCCCAACCCTTTCTTTTTCGATTTTGCTTCATTGTAGTTTGTATGTTTGTTGTAGGCATTTTCTATGAATTTTGCTTTATCTCTGGGATTGAACTATATCTGAGTCTGAAATGTAAGCCGGAAAGGTGATAATTTTTTAATTGTTCTCAAATATTATTCTGATATCTTTTTATATTATATTCTATTTATTATTAGTTGTATTATAATTTTTCATTTTTAATTTTTAAGAAGAAAGGATTTTACTTTATCTGTTTACTTATGTTTTTTTTTTTGATTTTCAGGGTGTCACGATTTTTAATCGAAACGCAGATTCCAGATTTATTTACTTTTCTCAGTTTGGTTTTTCTTTGTCGATTTTGATGTGCCAAGTTTAAAATATTACCATGCCTCTGTTTACGTTGTGTGTTTGTGTTTCTTGGATTTGCTTTATGGTTACATGTTACTTATGTTTACTTATTATGGCTCTTTGATACTGCAATTAAAATTTCTGCTATAAAAATTACTTGTATTTGTACTCTTGGTTATTTAAATTGGGCTATTGTTTTTTGTTAGGTATGCTTGTAACTTTGTTTGTGTTTTCCTATTTCTCCTCAGCAGTTTTCCTTCTCTGCGTTATGTCTCTGCACTATGTACCTCCATCGACTGTTTGTCAGGGTTCTACAATGGTATGTTTTTTCCCGGTCTGGTCTGTTTGGTTTGTCATGTTGTAGCCCCTTTATCTATCTAGGCTTACTGCCATATCAAGTATTACCTCACGATCACTGTTAGATCCTCGATATACATGTGACCGTTGTTTCTATATTTGTCTTGGCCGGTGTGGTCATTGGTCTTCACTTTTTGATGCCCTTCGGAAGAATTCCAAAGGCAAGATTCCACGGAAGCAGCTGGTGTACCCCATTTTGCAGCTTTCTTTAAACTCATTTTTGCTATGAAATTTTGTTAGCAACTATGAAATCAATTAAATAATACATCAAGAAACTGAAAGAAGGAATCAAACATAAATTATATTAAATAATAATGAGTGGGAAATAATTGCAAATTACAGAGCATTGTAGGAGATTTTAAAATCTCCTGGATTGGTCTGCAAAATGATTTTGGAGCGATTGAAAATTTTGTTCTTAGTTTCTGTCTTTATGCTAGATTTTGTTGCGCCTAAATGTATGTTTTTGTTTTTGATTAAGTGTATGCTTTAAATTTTGTATTAATGCCTAAAATGTACAAAAGTTTTACGTTTAGGTTGTTTTGTTTTTAATTTGCATTTATCACAGTGACATTCAGTCTAAATTTTGCTTTTATTGGAATTATAGCATAATTTGCCATAATTTACTTTGATATAATCATTCTCATAAACTTTTTCATTTGTTTTTTAACTAAAACTAAAAATAATTTTGATTTAAAGCCAAAAGGTTCGTGTGTTTTCGTCGTTTGTTCATATCGATTTTTTTCGATTTTTTAAAGCCGAAAGGATTAATAAAATTTTGTCTAAAAGGCCTAAAGGTTTGCTACAGCTTAGTGTTAAGCTTTGTGTTTTTATAGCAAATCATGCTGATCATTCCGATCAAGTCCCGTTGGTCTAATTCCAATAAAAGCCACCATATTGGTTACCATAAAAATTTTTGGATGTTGGTTGCCTTTGTGCCAGAGCATTGCAATATTTTCGTATTTATCATTTTTCTCCTCCATCAATATTGATTTAGATGTGATATTTTAACGTGCCTAAAAAGTAATTTTAAAATTTTGACTAAATTAACCGTAACCGTAGGTGTTATTAAATATTTTACAATGTCAAACAATTTGTTCAAACTATTTATAAAACTTTTGCTGGTAGGTTTACATTTAGTTTAAGCCGAAACGTGCTATGTACAATTTTGAATAAGCCATTGTTGCCGAAACTTTTGCCAGCGACACTCGTATCACAAAAACCAGACGCTTGCCCAAGCCGAAATAGTCGCTGATTTGTATAATTCCAAAATTGATTGGGTTAAATCGTGTATAAGGGAATTAAAAAGAAACAGACTTTGGTAAGGATCAAGGTAATAGATTTTCAAAAAATGATAATACAAACTTAAAATCAGATAAAATATATAATTGTTTTATTGAAATAATTAAATAATGTATCCAAACATAATTGATAATCATTAAGTTTAAAACAGTGAAAACAAATCGTATTCGGAGCACTTGCTTTGATTCCAATAGAAACTTAATTGACTAATTACTAAATTTATTAAATAATGAGTAGATACTTGATAAAGTGAAACGACTAAACTAAAGTTAATTTTGCTCTTTCGCGATTTTTCTTTACATATACATAAAATGTATATACTTTTACATATAAATATGTAGGAAACATATGCTAAAAGATTAATAACAATCATAAATGCTTTGACGGTACATTGGAAAATTTGATAAGAAACTAAATTTGTCGGTTATATCCACACAGTTGACAGGGGAAGAACGTAGATGGTGGGGGTTCGGGGGTCTTTATATGGTGGATCAAATTGGGTATAAGTTGGAAGCTTGATAGGTGGTTTATCTATTACCTTTTGACTATTGTTCATTTGTATGGCACCTTAAGAGTCACATTTGAATTGCCTGCTATATAAACATGATGTTCCTGCTCAGTTCTTGTGTCTGCCTAGTGGGTGTGCAATTGTGTGGACATATTTGGGTTAAACGTATGCCTAATTACTAAATAAAAACTCAACATAAATTACACATAATTAGTTGGGGAAGACAACAAATGAATTCTAGTTTAAAGTACTTATGGTTTTATAACTTATTGTTGATTTTTCGTATCTTTAAATTGCATTCCAGTATTATTTTATACACTTTAAAAATCACATATCAATTGAAATGAAAAAATAAATTTATAATAAGAGTTTGGTGGGCTCGGCTAGTCCCGTTGGCTTAGGCAAGCTAGTCACCCAGCTAAGCCAATCAACCGTATTCATTAAACAAAAACTCCAATACTTCAACCTATCTGAAAAACAAAACTTAAGCTTAGATGCTGCTTCAAAAAACAATTTGCTCAGCGCCAACGTCTGCGTTTCCTCCTCATTTTCCTTTCCTTCTTTTTCCCTTCGCCCCCTTTATTCTTCGCTCAAAACAGATTCTAGCTGCCCTATCTATCACGTCACATATTGATCCTCAATATATCTGAGCTATCCTAATTTTAGGCCTAAATCGTATATCTTCGGTCGATTGTATCAAAAATCAAGACTGACGAACTTAGCTTTTCCTTGAGTGCCCGTGTGTTTGTGTGTATATAAATATTTGATGTATTTGTAGTCTTTAAAGTGTTTGGGGTGCTTAAACAAATTATCAAAAAGGAATCGTATAACGTTGTGTTTTGGCTCTCTCTTTCCGCTCTTTGCTTCTCTTAAACATTGACCATTTGCATTTCATGTTTATGGTTTGTATCAAAGGAGTTTAGAGTCCTTTTTTAAAAAGACTAGTAATCGTCCTGTTTGCGTGTTTGCGACTCCTCTGTTCAGCGCCTCGTTCATTTGCCATTACCAAAACTGTGTTTTGTGGTTTCAAGTTTAGTTTTAAAAACTAGGAGAATTTGTATGCATCTTATACTAAAGAACTAATCGAACCTATGAAATATGGTGAATAGTGTGTTGTCCTCAATTTGAATGCCTGCCTACTACTCCTGTCTCTCCTACTGATGACATCATAGAGATCCGAATATCGAGTGTATGTGTGGATGAATGGGAATCGCGTGTGACAGAGTTGGTGGAGGCGGAGGCGCAGCTCCGTTGGTCACGCCCGGATGACCTGGATGCCCCGGATGTCCGGGATGACCAGGGTGGACCGTGTGGGAGGCCGGCGGCGGCGGCAGCGTGATCGACAGCGTCACAGTCTGTGGCCCCGCCACTGGTGAGGCGTGGGCGGATGAAGGCGTCGCTGCGGTGACAGCGGCGGCCGCTGCTGCAATGTGATGGGCGGACGACGTGGGCGGCGGTGGCGGCGGCTGGTGGTGTTGCTGCTGCGCCGCTGACGGCTGCTGCTGCTGTTGTGCCCCAGTTGCTCCAGTGGTGGGATGTCACTGGGCCACCACGGAGGCGGAAGCGTTCTGCTGCACCACCACGCCGGAGGACACCGAGTTGGCCACCGTCACGGTCACTGGCGGCGTGGGACCTCCGTTGGCGTGAGCCACGCTAGGCTGCTGGGCCTGCTGCGTCTGGAAGGGATGCTGGAACGGCGGTCCGTAGCACTGCGGGAAGTAGAGCTCGTTCTTTACCACCGACTGCTGGACGACGGCAGCGGCCGCCGCGTTGGATGCTATACTGCGCACCGGGAGGATGTTGGCCTTGTTGTCCACCGTCGTCGGGTTGTTGTTGTTGAGGAACTGCTGGGCCGCCAGGCTCTTGGCGTCGGTCATCAGATGATTGGCCACCGAGGCCACCTGGGCGACGGTGTTGTTGTTCTGCTGTTGCTGTTGCTGCTGTTGCTGCTGCTGTTGCTGGTGTTGCTGTTGCTGTTGACGACGGACCTTGGTGGTGTTGGGGTTCATGTGGTTGTCAATGTGCTTAGTGACCTCGTTCTCCGTGGCAAAGCGCCGACGGCAGTTCGGCATCGGACAGCAGAAGGGGCGATCTCCCTGTGCGGTGAGACAAGAATTCATGGATTAGGACTCTGGGCTGACTAGGATGCTAAAAGACTTCGGTGTGAAAAATAATCAACATTTACAACTATTCGATTTGATCAAAAAAAGGCTTCTTGAAATCATAAACCCATAAAATCAAAGGCTCTATTAGCTCTAAAATTTAAATCGGACCTTTAAAATGTCACGTTAGTTAATTAGTCCGATGAAAAGAATTGAGGATCTACTTGATCTAAATTAAGTTTGATTGATCTGTTCAGTTTGCTTAAATTAGCTGATATTAGCTTAAATGCTAACAGCTATTTGTTTTTCCATGATTTGTTGAGTTAAATCACATTCAGACTCGATGCTGATTTTACTAGTACTAGCTCTAAATAACATAATAAAGCCAAAACGAATTTAGGATTCTGAAGAATTTGCTTTCTTGTTAGCTTTTTTGATCGGTTACGGACTAGAACCTTTAGATGGCACTAAGAAATCGGGCCTAAGCGGGTCGAGGCCAGGCTACAACTACCTGGTGGGTGCGCGTATGCTGGTCCAGGATGGCCTTCTGCCGGAAGTCCTTGCCACACTGGCCGCATTTGTATGGCTTCTCGCCGGTGTGGATGCGCAAGTGCTGGTTGAGGATGGTCCGCTGGCGGAAGAAGCGCGGACAGTACATGCAGCCGAAGGGCTTCTCGTTGGTGTGAATGCGCAGGTGCTGCGTGAGGTGCGACTGTTGGCGGAAGCGCTTGCCGCACTCAGGGCAGGGATACGGTCGCGACTCGATGTGGATGCAGCCGTGCTGCAGCAGGGTGGTCTTTTGCTTGAACTCCTTGTCGCAGATGGGGCATCTCACGTAGAGCGGCATGTTTGCCGGCCTCACGCCGATGTGCTGCAGGACCTCGGGCAGTATCTTTTGGCCTGTGCGAGGGTCTGATTAGAAGGTAGCTGCTTTCAAGCGCACCGCACTCTAGTACTCACCCTTGCCGTCTTTAAAGTAGGACGGGTAGTGCATTCCGCCGCTGCCGTCCGGCGTTCCCTGGGAGTCCTCGTCGTGGTAGCCGCCGCCCGTGCCGGCAATGTCCCCCTTGGTGTCGTTGTCCTCGCCGGGAAAGGGCACGTCCGAGGGCCACAGGGTCGGGTGCGGCCCGTTCTTGAAGATGAGATGTGGCGAGACGTCTGTGAGGGAGACGTGTTGATCCGCAGTGTCACATGGAAGTAGTCAAGCGAGAGAAGGCTACTGTTAGCAGCGCTTAAACTTGGCGCGCAGCCGAGATGCAAATCTTCAAAAAACTGCCTAGCTTTCTGATTATCTGGGGGGGAAGGATTCTTTTCTGGCTGCTAACTTGCTGAGACAATCGGAAGGTGGTAAAATTTTAAATTTTTTCCAAAGATGGTTTAAGAGTTAGCTTTAACTTCGCCTTTCGTATACGCCCTCAGCAAGTCCACGAGCCAAATGGGTATAACAATAGGGGCAATTTAGATATGATGCCAAAAGTTTGCTCAATTGCAGAAAGTACTAAATTTTGCAGGGAAATCAGTTTCCAAAACGGTATGAGACAAGCCAAGCCTGCGGATCGGCTGGCTGCACCTAACCGGGGTCTGTCCTAGCGCTATCCCTATCTGAATCCCTGTTCGAATCTGTATCTGCATCTGCATCGTTAAGTAAGTTATCTGTATCTGTCGCTCGCCTTGGTGGGTGCGCACATGCTGATTGAGGATGGCCTTCTGGCGAAAGTGCTTGCCGCACTCGGGGCAGGCGAAGGGCTTCTCACCCGAATGGATGCGTATGTGCTGGTTGAGAATGGCGCGCTGCCGGAAGCTGCGCGAGCAGTACGGGCAGGTGAAGGGCTTTTCGTTGGCGTGGATGCGCAAGTGCTGGGTGAGGTGCGACTGCTGGCGGAAGCGCTTGCCACACTCGGAGCACGGGAAGGGACGCGCGTCCGTGTGGATGCGGTCGTGCTGCAGCAACGTGCTCTTCTGCTTGAAGTCCTTGCCGCAGGTTAGGCACTTAAACAGCCGCAGGTCGCTGTGTGGCTTGTTCTTGTGCGGGCGTCCTGGGCCGTTGCCCGTCCTCCCGCTGCTCGTCACGCCCACAGAACCCACGCCTACGCCCGCTCCCGTCGCCCCGCCCACTCCTCCGCCGCCGTTGGCTCCCGCACCGCCTTCATTGGCATTGGCGTTCGCTGGTCCGGTATTCTGCTGGCCGTTCTGCTGGGCGGGCAGCAGTTCGGGCAGCGCGTAAGCTTCCCCACCGCCGCCACCCCCACCTCCTCCGCCGGACTGCTCCATGGGCAGGACGCCCTTGTTGAGATAGTGGAGCGGCGGGAAACCAGGCGGTGCTAGCATCCCTCCTTGCGGTGCCGCGTGGCGGGGGGCGTAGTAGTCCGGAGTCTGGAACCCGTTGCCCGGATCGCTTTGGGGTCCACCGTTCTGCTGAACGTGGGGGTTGCCCGGCTCGCCCGCATTGGAGCCCGAATGCTGGGGGTCATTGCTGCTTTGGTTTTGGTTGGGCGCGGAGTTCTGCTGGTTGGTGAGCTGTAACAGAGGATATGAAGTAATCTGGGCTTTGGACGAACCTTGACGTCTAGGCTTACCTGATTCATGGGGTCCTCGTCGCCTGCCCCGTTCGCCCTCTGCTGCTGCTGCTGCTGTTGCTGCACGGGATACGGACTCGAGGAGGGCGACACCTGCTGCTGACGCCCGTCGCCGCTGCCGTTGTCCCGGGTCTCCTGTCCGCCGCCAGGAGGACTCTGCGGTTGTCCCGCTGCCGCAGCCACGGCTGCCGCCTGGGCAGCTGCTTGCGCCGCGTTCTGCTGCTGCTGTTGCTGCTGCTGCTGCTGGGCGGTGAGGTGTTGCTGGGCCTGCTGCTGGATGTTGGGGTACATGTCGCTGCCCCACTGGGCGGGACTGGCGCCTATGGCACCGGGGTTGCGCTCTGCGTCCTGCGAGTCCTTGTAGAGCACGTACGGCTGGCCCGTGTCCTGGGTTATGCAGTACATGATCTGGCGAGGCACCTTCAGTCCGGCTGCTATGCAGGCTGCAAAGGAAGCCGAAAAGTTTATGGCCATTGCTGCTGATCCTCTGCTCAATTGGGTCCTTGTAGGTACTGGCTGTTTCTTTGTTGGGGTAGCACTTGATTTTGCCTGTGGCTCTTACGTCGCTTTCGATTAGTTCGAAGTCCCTGCTTTATTGACTTCTGATGCACATTTTTGCGGGTTCTCTTGACTTTCGTAACTGTGCTGCGCGTATGGCCGCTGTGGTTTCTGCTGGTTATTTGTTTCTCTTCATGTTGATCAAATTTTAAATTCCTTTCTTCTTAAGTGTCTCATTTATTTATTTTGGTTTATAAACTTGTTTTTTGTAGTTTCGTTTGCCCGGAACTCGTTAAGTTTTCTTTTTAATTTAAAATTAAATTTTATCCTTTTTCTTTGTTGGTTTAAAATGGGTTTCAAAGATGATTTAATTGATGCGATTTCATGTTGTTCACCTGAAAAAGAAAATAAACTTATTGAAAGATATTGCAGAGATGAATTCAATAAGGCCCTTATTCAGGAATAGCAACACTATTTCCACTCTATCTTAGCGGCTATGCCTTCAGCTGTGCTATGTATTTGGCATGCAAAACGCATCCAACTCTTAAAATCACTGCAAACCTACAAAAAAAGTGAAAAGGCCGGAGACATTAGCAGAAATGCCTGGCAAATTAAAAACAATGAAGATCATCAGCGGCTGATTGGGAGGAGTGGCGCATAAATGGACACCGCATGCCAGGCAGGCGAGTTCCTCCCTCCGAACCGATTCCCCCAGTACCAGGCGACCCACAAAGCGGTTGTCCACATGTTTCCTCCTTTGTTGTCATGCCTTGCCGGTCTGTCTTGACTCACTTGTCTCCCCTACTCTCTTGCCTTTCGTTTTTTGGCTTCGGTTTGGTTTTATCTTTGTGCTGTGTTATTTTTTGTTTAACGACGATGACGACGACGTGCCAACTTTTTAATGCGGGATCAAGGTCTCGGAGAGCGTACGCCTCGCGCAGCACAGGCATGGACAGGCTCCCAGATATACACTAGCCCAGAGATATATCGCCGGGACAGAGACAGCTTGCATAGTGCCGCAAGTGCTAACTGTTGACTGATCCACAAGCAGCAGCCAGCCTTAGCAATATGAAGAATGAAATGTTTCCAAATAGGTCCTTCTCAACGCCAGAGGCGTTCCAGTTAAACACATCGAGTTATTGAATTGATTAGACGTCTATTGTAACGCTATGTTACCAAAATGTGGGTATTAGTCGGTTGAATGGACCTCTTCAATGATTGATGAAACTTCAAACCTGCTGCTGGTTCAAAATATGATTTTTTTCCCAATCATGAAAGCGAACCCAATCAATACATCTAAGCTTTCTTGGTTTTAATCAGAAGACAGCGAAAGAACTGTCAGCGGGGGGCGGGGGTGCTACTCCCTCTCAGCTTGTGGTATTGTTGCAGTTCAGCAGATGGCGCCACCTATAAATGTCGATACGCTTCATCAGCTGCGGCCATATTTATTTTGGAATTCGTTAGCCGAGTGACTCTACTGGTTTCAATAAAAAAAAGTTTAGAACTGATAAAAATACTTTTTTTTTGAAAAGTGGTTCCACTATGAAACTAATTTGGTTTTTTTCTTTCTTTAATATGGCAACCATTCTGAAGAAGGACTTAAGGTAGCAAATGATAACGATCTTATTTAAACTAAAGTTTGGCAAGTTTAGAACCAAGTTAACGAAGTGTTCAGATCAAACCCGTGACTATTGTGTATAAACTTGTGGCCTAAAAACCCCCGTCATGAATCGGAAATCGAACATCGGTAATCGAGTGCTGGCAAGGCGAGAGATCCAAACTACCTTGAACCCGCAAATGAACGCGAGCTGCGAGAAACTCAGCTGCACACAGGGAAGGAGTCGCAGATGTAGTCGTGCTGCGTTCTCCACCGATTGCACTTCGTGTCAAATGCAGTCGAAGTATGTATGTACATACATATACGCCGCCGCCGCCGATGCCGTTGTCGTTGCAGTTGCTATTTGTGAATTATTGCGCTCCATTGGCAGAGCAACAGCATTTGCAATTTATGCGTTCGTTGTCGTCGCAGGTCGCCTTCCCTTTCGATTCCGCGTCACACTATCTGTAGGCTCGGCTGTTTATTCTGTTGTCTGCCCCTTCGCCGATCTTCCACAACATCTCTTCTATTATTCTAGTACAGGGTGCAATGCGTTCTTCGCTCTTTATTTCAATTTTTAGTTTTTTTATCAGACACCAGTACTAATCCCGGTTAGTACCCAGGGCGTAGTGATAGGATTTGTAAGCTCTTGCAAGGAGTATACGAATTTTAGGCAGAGACTTGAAACGCAGATGAGAAAACATTTTTTACCATATAAAGTTAATATATTCTTTATCGGGATCTGACGAATTTAGCCAACTTTAAAGCTTTTGCGGGCAAGTACACACAAAATAACTAAATTCAAATTAGAAAAACATTTTGACCCTTTTTATACCATTGCAGAGGGTATTATAATTTCAGTCAATAGTTTGCAGCGCAGTGAAGGAGACATTTCCGTTTTTTTTTTCTTTGGAGCAACTACTATGAAGTTACGGTTCTAATTATAATCTATCAAATATTAATTATTAACTATATCACAATTTAGTTTTGTCAAAAACGGACAACAATATCAAATAGAATTCGTTTTGTAATAATTGCAAGGGTATATCAACTTTGGCAAGCTTCCTTTCTTGTTTTTAGTTATTTTCCATATATTGCTTTTGACTTTTTGAGGCTCTTATTAAATTTTAAATTTTTACTGTTTGTTTGAACCTCTGTTTTTCTACAGCTAAACGAATATACTGCATTAACTAGACCATTTTAGGGCGATATAATTATACCCTTGCCGAGGGTATTATAATTTTGGTCAAAAGTGTGCAACGCAGTGAATGAGACATCTCCGACCCTATAAAGTATATATATTCTTGACCAGGATCGCGTCCTGAGTTGATATAAGCATGTCCGTCTGTCTGTTTCTACACAAACTAGTCTCTCAGTTTTTAAGTCATCGAATTGAAACTTTGCATACACCATTCTTTCCTTTGCACGCAGTATATAAGTCGGAACGGCCGGGGTTGGCCGACTATATCCTATAGCCGCCATATAACTGATTGATCGGAAATGCCATAACTTTGGTGTTTGTAAAGATAGGAAGTTGGGATTTTTATGAGTATCAAGAATGCATCAAATGAATAATTTTGGAGAATATAATTTATAGAGTATTCTGCAAGGGTATATCAACTTCGGCTCCGCCCGAAGCTAGCTTTCCTTTCTTGTTTTTAAATATTCTTAGATTGTATTCTGAATATATTTTTTAAAATCGGTTTTATCAATTGCCATCTGAAATCGCAACCATATAAATTTATAACTATTGCTTTTGGATAATAATGCTTTTATTGCCATTAAATCTAGTTCGACTTGGGGCAACTGCAAACTAGGAAAGTTAGACGTAAAAAAATGTAACTATTTGTGTTTGTAAACTCCATTTTTCGAGTACTCTTCGCCGGCGAAATTGAGTCGGCAATTTCTGACTCACGCTCCGCTGGCAGTGAAAGTTGTCAACGAGCCCGACACCAGCTGCAACCGCTGCCCCACCCACAAGTCGTGGTCTACTTTAAAGGGAGAATGATATTTCAGTTTCTATTTCTGTTCGAATGGCGTCCAACAGCGACGCAGCCAATGACGCCGTAAAACATTGCCAATAGCAAAGCTTTTAGTTTTCGCGCTCGTGAGTGCAGTTCCAGTATCTGGTGTCATGTAACGTGTATCTTCTGGTGCAGCGTGTGTCTTGCCTTGTGCCTAGGCCGTCAGGTGTAAAGTAGGTGGAGTCTGCTCGCAATTGCCCGCCCAGCTTTGCTCCCATTATCCATCGCGGTTGTATCTCGTTTGGCTTCGCTACACACTCATTGAGGATGTACCCACTAGCTAGCTACTAACGCACTGGACAACGATTTTGGTCTAAGGGAGAAATATTCCGGCCTTTGCTCGCATACCTTCAGAAGTGCTCAGGAAACAACATGATCAATATGTAATCCAAATTCGCCTAACTCGATTTTTTCACTTTAGTACTTTATTTACGCTTAAATGCATAACAAACATTGAATTTATAACATTAAAGTCAAACTTTCATAGCTCCAACTTTCCTTAACCGAATTTTTAATAGCTCTGTTGCAACTATAATTGATACCATTTCATCTTCGTAAGAAAAATTTCCTTAATAAGACTTCTCTATAACTCAACCGGATTTTTTAGGAAAATTGTTTATGAGAGTACGATTTTTTCACTAATATTTGGATCGAATTGTCAAAAGACAATTGGCCAAACAAAGCAATTATTCTAAAGATAATTTAGTATTTATATTAATATACGAGACAGAGAAATAATATTAATATTCATATTAATATTCATTTTAAACAAATTATACAAAAAAATAACGAACTTTATATTTAATATTTTATTTGAATATGGGAATTGTCTCTTGATCTTATGAGGAACGTTTTTAAACCATACTGAGCACTCGAATTTCCATAGTTTGAACCTCCTTCTCCAAAATAAATATTGTTTCTCTATCTCGAAGTCTATGTAACTTGATTTTAATTTAAAATAAGAAAGGAGGCAAACTTTGGCAAGACGAAAATTATATAACCTTGCAGTTGTTACAAAACAATGGCAGCTATCCGATTTTGACCAAAATTAAAAGCGTAATTCTGATATAGCATTTAATTACTATACCTCAAAGAAATATTTTGATAAATAGAAAAACAGCAAAATAATTTATTTATTTTTATTTATTTTTTCTATGGGAGCCATATGATACAGATGTCCGATTTTTTTAAATTACTTACCGTAATTAAAAAACAAGAGAGAACGCTATAGTCGGGTGCCCCGACTATCAGATACCCGTTACTCAGGTAAAGGGAGTGCGAGGGAGATGGAGATAGAAACTTTGATCACGCATAACTTTTTAACGAATGGTCGGATTTGAAAAATTTCTTCTACATTTCGATAGGTACTGATAAACACAATAAAACTGCATTTTTACTTTTCAGAAATATTTAAATTTTTAAAATCGTATATAAGCGATTGTGGGCGTTAAAGGGGGCGTCGCACCTTTTTGAAACAAACTTGCGCTGCGTAGGAACTCCTAGAATCTGCATGCAAAATGCCAATCTTCTAGCTTTTATAGTTTCCGAGATCTCAGCGTTCATACGGACGGACAGACGGACAGACGGACATGGCTATATCGACTCGGCTAGTGACCCTGATCAAGAATAAATATATTTTATAGGGTCGGAAACGCTTCCTTCTAGCTGTTACATACTTTTGCACGAATACAATATACCCTTTTACTCTACGAGTAACGTAGTAACTACAAAGTTATCCTTTTTTTAATTTTTAGTTGCTGATCCGGCTCCCCCCGATTTATATACTACCTGCAATAGCAAAACTTTTGGGAAAGTTTCAAGCAGATAGCTTTAAAATTGAGGGTCTAGTTTGCGTAGAAACAGACGGACGGACGCACAGATGGACGGACAGACGGACATGGCTAGATCGACTCTCCTGGTGTGTGATCCTGATCAAGAATATACATACTTTATAGAGTCGGAGATGTCTCCTTCACTGCGTTGCACACTTTTGACTAAAATTATAATACCCTCTGCAAGGGTATAAAAAGACAGACAGACACCTTTTTTTACAAAATGCCAACCTTTTAAACGTTTTCACTCACCAGGAGAGTCGCTTAATGCTAGTTATATTTTATCAGCTTAATAATAAATAACACACCAAATTTAGGGTCAACTTTAAAAATGGAAATATAGTAATTAAATGCGAGTCTTTGTTCACAAGTCAATAAAAAACACACATTAGCAAATGGCCCTCCTTTCCAGGGGACTATCTTTTGTACCCTTAATCAAATGGCTAAATAGAACACCCTTCAAGGTTAAGGCAATAAACAGAAAACATAAAAATACACAAATTGCCAAAAGTTTTTGCGCTTGTTGCTGCACCAGCAGACACAAAAAATGAGCGGCAAAACACTTTAGCGTAATTTGTGCAGCTATCTAATTCAATGTACAAAAGCTCTGCCAGCGCCACACTCGCACACACACAACGAAGAGAGCTCCAGCGGGTCGGAAAGGGGAGGAGATGTGAGGGAGGAGAGAGCGCTCTAGGGACAGAGAAAGAGAGCAAGAGAGAAGGAGAGAGGGAGCGCATAAACTACAGCGACAGGTATAGAGATGTGAGAGTAAATAAAAACAAAATAAAATTAAAGCAAGAAGTGACTCACAAAAACAGCCGAATGGGCATTTTTCCTCTATTTATTTGTTTTCGGAGAGCGTTTCTGAAAAAACGTTTGCTGCTTTAGGCTATCTGCGTAGCTTTTATGTATTTTTTGGCCCACCAAAATAATTGAATAAAGGAATCCAGATAAGAACCCCTATATAGTCAGTATATTCAGTAGAGTTCCATTCAGGTGTTTAACATTTTATCTTTGAAAGGGTTTTTGAAGTTTCGCAGGTAGTTATCTTGTTTTTGGCAAATCTCCTTACATTTAATTGGCGCCCAAATGTGAGCCCTGTTGTGTGACAACTAACATTTCAACCGGCAACGAACTCATCGCTCGACGGCAGATGGACGTCCCACAGCACGCCACACATGCATTAGGAGTCGGAGATGTATCTGTTAGATATACAAGCTGAAAAAACGACAAGACAACTACGACAGACACACACGCACACACAATTAAGTGATTTTCCTTGTTTTATTGTTGAACATTTTGTGGATTTTAGTTTTTTGTGCGAAAATCGTTTTTGCTTATAATTCATCATATTCCTTTATGGCCTGACATTCGCACACCATCGTGGCTACGCACACATACGAATGCCCTACTCTTTCGGCTGCCCCCGCTTCCCATCCCACTCCCCCTACCCCACCATTGACTCAACCCAGACACCAAAAATATAAATGAATTCAGCCCCAGGGAGAATTTCGCAAAAAATCGGAGAGCAAAAAAGCAAATAAAAATTGCAAATGATTTGTGGCCATTTTTGTTGTTGCTATCGCTTTAGTTTTGCGCCTTCTGCTTTGAGCTTCTCTGCTCATTAGTGCCGTTTTGTGTGTGCCGCCCCTTTCCAGCGCCCCCTTATTTCGCCACCGGCCGACCGCACCAATCCCCCTCCCCAAACCCCCTGAAAATCTCCTTTGCATTTGTCAACTTGATTTACGCGCAAACATTTTAGTTGTGTTTATTTATACTTTTAGTAGGTTTTTAATCAATTTTCGCAACCCATGCATCTCTTTTGGGTCTTTTCCAAATGCAGCCTTATCACAAAATGTTTATTTGACTTGTCTTTTGAACTTGGTTTGTGGAGCTCATCTCATACTTTATGTATGCATGGACATACTGCCTATTTTTTCACACCTCCACCAACTGTGGCAGATATTAAGTATTCGTGTTCTTTGTCTATATGTACATACATATGGGCGCAGACGGATTTTGGGGGCTCGCAACTCACATCGAGAACCCAATATATCCCAATTCAGCTACTTATCGAGCCAATAAATCTGTATCTGAATTCGTATCTATGACTAAAGGCCATACAAATTCATCCAGTTCCCCTTCTTGGGAGTTTGACATAATGTGACTGTGTGTGTGGGACCCAACGGCTGTATTAGTATACAGGGTATAAAGACACTAACCTCAAAATGCTGATTGCGGCAGGCAATGGCACGACTTGTCGAAGCTCGGAACGAGGGAGCTGGAGGAAGTACGGGCGAAAAATTGCAATTGCAACGGCCCGCTAACACAGGCGCAGCTCGCAGCGCACACAGATGCACGTGCTCACACAGACACCCCCGAGTCGACCCGAAAATCGCAAAGATACCTCTACCAGTGCAGTGGCGTGGCAGATACACACAGATACGTAGATGCAGTTGCAATGTTGCAAAAAGCAAACTGCAGACGATCGCGAAACTGCTACTAATTCAGCCAAGAGTCATTTCCCATTACTCCAAAGGACATGTCCAATTTTCATTAGGCGGTTATGTTATTCATCACTTTTAAGCCTCCTCCGGCAGCTTCCTCTTTCCTTTAGGGGCGACGTTGCGTATACGCCGCGTTGGGGGGCACCCAGGTAATTTATGCGTTGTTTATTCAACACTTTGCCCGCCTGGCGATTGTTTTCGGTGCACTTTTGCGTTTTATTTCGGTTTGTGTCACTGGCCGACTACATTTTTAGTTATTTTTGATGGCTGCCTCACAAGTTCTCAACGGGAGCGCTCTCCGCACATGTACGTACGCGGTGTACAGCTTTTTTATTAGATGTCGGCACGAAAAATCGAACAAAATGCCAAAAAATAACAAACCGAATGCGAAGCAACGCGAATCTAAATCGAGTCCGAACCCGAAACGAGACTCAACGCGACTCAACTTAGCTCGCCTCTCAGCGATGCCTCGTCGTCTGAACAGTTTCTCTGTCTGGTTGTGTGTCCGTCCGTGGGTTGCCTCTTTCTCTTTTTTCGTGTCTGTGCCTGTGATGTGTATTTGGCATGGGTGTGCAGCAGCGCGCCAATATTTAGCTTAGGAGTCGCCAAACAAGAGGGAGAGCCTACACCTCAGAGAGCGAGAGAGAGTCTCTATAAGCTATTTTAGCAAAACATTCGCGAATTTTTTCCACTTTTTGCCGGCGAGGGAGCCTGCCTGAGTGTGGGTGCATTGTGTGTCTTACACAACCGTCTTGGTGTTAGTGCAGTCTCTCTCAAAGCTCGCTCTCGAGCTCTGTTGTCAATTTTCTAAGGCTTGAGCAGCGACGCAGCGTCGCAGTCCTGCTTCAGCTGACGGCGACGCCGCTGCCTCAACGTCCTTTTCTCCTGCCGTACTTCACTGCCCCGTTTTATCTCGAGTCCAATATTTTTCTTATTTCCTTTCCGCTACACGCTCGCTTGACTAATAAACATAGTGTCATAGAACCAGTGGCAGTAAGGGCCCCGCCTTCGAAGATGCCACATCACCATCCGAAGGGAGGTGAAGTTTAATTTGAATTTTGCAACCGAATAATCGCCTTCGATTTTTTTAAATTTTGTCTATTATTTAAAGTCAACTAATGGGTTAAATCGCGAAATTTTCGGAAAATATTGGACACACATATAACCAATCGCCATCACTAATTGGAATTACTTGGAAATGACTGATAATTTTGGGTTTATGGAAATGAAAATCTCAAAAAACAATTTTGTATACCCTTGCAGAGGGTATTATAAAATTGGTCAGAAGATTGTAATGCGTTGAAGAGGACGTATTGAATAAAGTAAATATGTTCTTGATCAGCATCACCAAAAGAGTCCATGTTGTTGTTTGTATTAGTTTTAAATACATATATGGATATAACTTTAGCAAATGTCTCTATTGCAGGTATTAAATACATAATTCAAAATCGATTTAAATGGATTTATCGTATTGTTGACATCGGAACAATCAGAACAAAGTCGATATATTGTCGTTTTATAATACACATTTGTTATTTAAACGTTTAATGTAATACCTTATGGTGTCTTAAATTTTTTTTCACAATTTAATATACCCTTGCGATTTAAAATGTAATATTCTATAAAACGACTATATATATATTTTTACCCATATATGTTTAACATTGTGGGGATATTTAGCGATAGATTTTTCGTTTTTATAATATTAAAATAAATATTTTTGAAACTGTTTTATATTAATTTTCAGAAATTACCTGTGGCAGCTATATAACTCGTTCCATTTTTGAAAAATTTAATTTTGTTTTTTTATCGCTGAATCCGAGTTGATCCGACTCTTGCAATAGAACTAAGATTTGTAATTTTGTAAAACCACCTACGAAAATATTTTAAAACAAGAAAGGAAAGCTAACTTTGGTCGGAGCTGAAGTTGATATACCCTTGCAGAATATTCTGTAAATTATATTCACCAAAATTATTCATATGATGCATTCTTAATACTCATAAAAAATCCCAACTTCCTAACATTAAAAACATCAAAGTTATGGCATTTCCGATCGTTCAGCTATGGGATATAGTCGGCCGATCCCATACTGCGTGCAAAGGAACGAAGGGTGTGTGCAAAGTTTCAATTCGATATCTTTAAATCTGAGAGACTAGTTTGCGTATTATAGTAATTATTTACAAATCGACATACATATGTAGCTTCATTGTTTTTAGTAATATAGGAATCGAAATGTAGTCGTTTTGTAATTTGTTTATATAATACTTCGGTTGGCCGAAGTTTGCTTCCTTTCTTGTTAACAGTTATTATTTTTTTTTCTCTAATTACATTTCTATTATAACGGAAGGATTTATTAGGCAATAAACGGATTAAAGCAAAGGACATATGGCCTATTTCCGAGCAGCGCCTGAAAACACAAGTGCCTCTGATGGTCGATAAAGGCCTGATGGTCGAGCACTATTGCCTTCTTGTATTAATATCAGATTCCCCGTTACCTCTAAACTCTCATCGCTTAATCAGCTCAACCTTTGGACCTGCTGACCAAATACGAAAACCGTTAAGGCAATTATAATTTGGCACTTAGTATCGGACTGCAAGCTTTTATCGAACATGAAAATTTGCAATTGTTCATTTGATTTCGCTGCTTTCCGGGTTGGAAGCGGTTTTCCAGCGACTGCGGGTGACAGGTAATGCGGGGTGAGGCAGAGGAAGGGGCGGCAGCGAGTACAAATGTAAAGTAAATTGTTGTATGATGTGTATGCAATATTGTATAAATAAACAGCGCTCTTTTATTTTTTCTATAAACAACAGAACAAACCCAGCAGATATACTAGCACCCCTCCCCCCGAAACATATGTACATACTCGCTGCTGACATCGTATCTTTTGTGTTGTTTTTGCTGGCTGTTTACTTTGATTGGGTTTTGCTTTATGTTAAGGTTTCTGCATTGCTGCAGAAACGAAAAAACACGAAAAATGACAAGTTATTTTTTACGCTGCTCAAAAAATAAATCAAACTGTCATTTCAAAAGAGAGCAAAATGAAGCCCAACACGACGACCAAGCGGGAAAGTTACCTTGAGATGGCCAAGAATAAACGACATTTGGTGCTTTCAGAGATAAATTTCTATCTCATAGATATAGTACGCCTTCTTCGCTCTCTCCCTCTATTTGTGCATCTGTTGAGCGTTTGTAGTTTAAATTTAGCAGTTTTTATTGCATTGTTGCCAAGATTCTTGCTACTCTTCATCTTCTCGTGGTTCCTGTGAGATGTTTACCCATAAATTCAGCTGTTTTGCTAGAGAGTTCGCTTGTGCGTCTGCATTTGTATCCGTTGAAGGTGTCTTTGCGCCGTGCCTCTTAGTTCAGTAACCTATCGATTTGATTTTGTTTACATTTCCGACTTGATAAACTGAAATGGCGAAGAGAGCGCTAGGGAATTCGCAAACATTTTCACATGCATATGAATGAAATTATGTGTGCAAAAGGACAACTGAGCGGGGATACCGACAAATACAGAGAGCTGTTTTATTGATTCGAACCAAGTTTCGAGACACGTTCGTTTTCGATTCAAAACAAACCTATTTATATACTGACTTTCCTGATAAGGGAATTCAGTGGCGATAAGGTCCGAATATTTGATGATTTTATGGGTGGACTTCACTTTCGACTAGGTCTACCATGTACATATTTGCACCTCTCGAACCCTTTCCGGTCTCGCCCTAAAGCAACATGTCAAACGAGTCTAATGCAATTAGCTTAAATGACTGCAAAAATGCAATTTAGCGAAATATGTTCAAATCTCGGGAAACAGCGACTGGCCAACAGCTTAGGTGCTGCAAGTATTTAAGAAGAGGGCCGACTCAAGCGCCCAAGTACAGTTGGCAGGTGCCAATAAATGCACCCCTGCGTAATTCTACTCCACCGCAGGCAACTTTGTTGTTTGTCGGTCCGCTGATCCGTCCATGCGTAAAGTGTGAAAATCCGCACGCACCCAACAAAGCCTCTCAACGCACAATACGGTGGCCAGCCTCGTCTTCTCTGGCCCTCTCCTGCTCACCTCTTCACCAGTCTCAACCAACTCATGGGTCTTACCGTTTAATGACATTTTTGTAAGTAATAGGATTAGTTGGGACCAAGGGTCGCACCGACCCGGGTTTCACCCGACCTAACTAAGTGGCATCACGGCAAATAACAATCTTTATATTTAAATACATTGTTATAGGTAAAGTAAAGACATTTTTTAGAGCCGAAAAGCAAATATTTTTTGGTCAACTTTTAAGGGCTTAGAAACATTTTTTTAAAAAATGTTTTTATAATCAATAATGTATTCTGTAAAAAAAAAATGTTTTCAGGTTATAATTCATTGTTTTACTGTTTTCCGTCTTACGCGTTCTGCATTCATTTCTTCCCCCGAAGCAGAAACACGTTCAGATGTTGTGCCAAATATTTAATCGAGAACTAAATGAGTTTTGACATGGTTTTCCGTGCTGAAGTAGATGGATGAACTGGAGTTGGGGCAACGGGACGTATGGGCAATTTTACGTCTGGCAACTTTTGAGGGCCCTTCGGGGAGTGTGCCAAATTCAAATTGAAGCCGCTTGCCGAATACCCATGCACATGGCAGGCTAGGCGAAAGCTTTTTTAAAGAAAAACTATTTTTATTATGTGTTTCTTGCTTCCAGCCACTTCGTTTTGAAAACACTTCAGCCTTGCTTAATAAACTTTATCGCATTTTTTGCTTTGTTTGCCTTGCTTGAAAGTGAAAACAGTGAGATACGATGTTGAAGGCTTCCCTACGCTTAATTTTCACTCGCTTGGAGGAAATAAGTTTTTATGGACAGAAAAGTTTTCGCAGACAGCCAACAGACAAATGATAGTTAACATGCAAAAAAAATTGAGCTGGGCTACACCGCGAAATCTAGCCACCAATTTCTAAGTTGTTTCGCATTCTAGTCGCCAGTACTGCAACCACCTGATCTGAATTATAGCCGAATTTGAACTTCCTCGCCAAGACCGCTATCCCACCAACAACTGACTGTAAATCAAATGGGCAAATTTGTGGCAACAATGGAGAGAAAGAGCATTAACGTGGAATGGGCTGCTAACAAAGTTTCTACTGCATTTAAATGCAGTTGCAGGTTTCCAATATTATAGCTGCCTTGCCAACGCCCCGGAACGCCTCTCTCGGCGGCAGTCTGCACTTTTTACGAGTACTGGGATTGGGGCTGCAGATTCTGGCTGCATTGTCCTCGCAGCCACGTCGCATGCCCCGAGCATTTTTCTGGTGTTTCTATTTTTCCGTAGTTGGCCAGACAAAAAGCGTACTTGTGCGAGCATTCGAAATTTCTGGCTTTGGCCACAGGAACGTTTGTAAAAACAAGAGTGCGCCAAATGGAAGCAGAGTGTGTGCGGGTGGAGTTGAAATCAGTATGCACGTGCAAAT